ACACACACACACACACACACACACACACACACACACACACATATATACACAAAACATCAGAGGCCTCGGAGACGATTTGCAGCCACAGGTTGTAGTTCCTTGGCCTCTGAAAAATTTGAGGCAAAAACTGCAGAATATTTACTTGTGGTCTGATATTCAAGAAATTCACCCAAGATACCCTCACATTAAATAGAAAATTAGGCACTGAATAAACAATAAAGGGCATTCTTCACTTACAGACAGCTTTTGAATCTTTCAGAGCATCTGCCAATATAAACAATTCCAAGATAAACAACCCATTATTTATTAATCAACCACAGTGTAGTTGGCTCTGGACACAGCACAATCGCAGGCATTATGGCTCACACATCTCTCTAAGCAAGGGGCAGTCCACCAAGCCTGCAAGGGCGGGCAGTTTCCAGTAGGGTTGTCTTCAAGTGGCCACCAGTTTTTGGAGTACTGAATGCTGAGTCAGCAGCTGCCATGCTGGGAGGGAGCATGTCAGTTCCTAGGACCCGTACAGAGGGTGATGATTCCACAGCCACCAGGAGCCCCAATGAATAGTCCACCCTTCTAGTGAAATCACTTGGAAGCCCAGAGAAATGTTTGAGAGAAATAAGCTCAAGAGGTTTGAGCTACACAGCGTGGGAAATCAGAAATTGTAAAGAACTACGCTGTTCCCAGTTAAACTATGTGTACACTGATAAGTTTTAAACCTGAGAAAAAAGTAAAATCTTCTGAGATTAGATATTACCTTTAAATTCCTATTTGCTTTATATTTCTTTAAAATAACTGACAACATGGGACTCTTAGCTTATGTTGCAATAAGCATCCAGTCTGTGACTTATGGTTCAAAAATTCTGAAATTGGCTTAACATTAAAGAAAAGAAATACCAGTCTTATTAACTGGGTTCCTACTTTCTTTTTTACTAATGAGGAAGTACTCTGTGGAATAGATAGCCAGAGGCAGACACCCTGCAAAAACCTCTCCAAGCTTAGCAATTTATGTAATTTGTTTTCTCACTTCCATATGGAGAGATTCCTAACAGGAAAATTAGAAACGCTGCATGGTAAAAGGTTCAACATGCTTAACACAGATGGGCT